GACCAACAATGTTGAGCAACAGAAGACTTCTGTGTTTCCTTTTTTCTAACATATGCCTCATGTTCCTTGACGCGAAATTTTAAGGCTCTCTTAGTTTGGCCAATGTAAATTAAACCACACTGGCAAGGAATCCTATAAATACCCCAGGAATTCATATCCGGAATGGGGTCCTTGAGTATGGAACTCGGAATTTTATTGATGGGAGAATAAACAACCCGAAAGTTAAATTTCTGCAAAATATGTGCAACTTTATAGCTAATTGATGGAAAAAAGGGAATGACAACAGAATTTCAGACAACAGACTTCGGATAATCTTCTAAAACAAGATTGTGCCTTTTAGTGTGTTGAGATGAGAATTTTTTAACTGCTTGATTAATAATGTTGGGTGGAAAGCCCCTGTCAATAGCTATTGCTTTTAAATACTTTAGTTCTTCATCAAGGGCTACTTTGGAGGAACAAACTTGAAGAGCACGGAAAACATAGGAATAAAATGAAGCTAACTTTTGTTTAGTCGGATGACATGATTTAAAGTGTGGTGGAAGGCAAACCGATGAAGGTTTACGGTAAACCGTAGTACTGAAGTTGGATGTGTTACGTGTGACCAGAATGTCGAGAAACGGAAGAGAATTGCAAGTCTCAAGTTCAAAAGTGAACTGAATAGCAGGATCAATAGAATTCATTGTTGAAAAGAACTTTATTTAAATCATCTTTATTACCTTCAAACAGAGTAAAAGTATCGTCTACGTAGCGGAACCATGCCGGGAAGTTTAAAGTTTCAAACAATTTTGATTCATAATAATGCATGTAGATATCAGCCAGGATGGGACTGAGGGGGCTTCCCATGGCTAATCCCTCAGTTTGCTTGTAATATTTATTTTGGAAAACAAAATGTGTTTGTTTCAAACAGAGTTGAGTGAGAGAAATTAGCTCATCAATTTCGATGCAAGAGAAATGAAATTCGCGTTTCAAGAATTCTGTTAAATTGCAAGCTTGCCTTACTTCGGTCCGTCATAAGGGATACACGTCAACAATTGTCCAAAATTGAACGTGAACTCTATAAGCTTCATCTGGAACTCGCTAAATCATATCCAAAATTCCCTGCCCTTGAACAAAAGTCTTGGTCTAGAACGGAGAATGCAGTTAACCGTCATAAAAATACCCTTGCAGTTAAATTCGAAAAACTTCTTTTACAATCTTCCAGTTCAAGTAGTTCAAAAAATCTTCCCATTGTAAACATCAAGCCAATAGTTAATATTTCTAATGTTAGTCTTTCAGAAGAACAAGAGAGAATTCTAAAATATAATTTTAACTTCTCACAAACCTGTAAACCCTCGATTCCAAAGATTTTGGCTCCTATCGAAAAAGCTTTCAAGTTCAGTAAAGTTTCAGATTCACAGAAAGAAATGATTAGGCATCTTATCGCCCATAATGTGAAATTCAATAATAAACCTTTGAAACCAAATCTAACTGCGAGAGAAAGAGCTACATTGCGTGAAATTCATTCTAACCCGGATATTATTATTTCAAAGGCCGACAAAGGTGGCCAGATAGTCGTCATGGATAGGAACACTTACATCGATGGTGTCACTAAACTCTTAAACGAAGGACCATATAATCCGATCCCTAAAGATCCTTCACCTTCGGATTTGTCAAAAATAAAAACTGCGATCAAATCTTCGCAAATCATTTCAGCCAACTTAAAACATTCACTTATCCCATCTGTTGCGAATTGTGCCAGATTATATGCTCTTCCCAAAATTCATAAAAGTGGTATTCCTTTCCGCCCTATTGTATCAAATTTAGGTACTGCCTCGTATCCATTAGCTAAATATTTAGTTTCTAGATTTTCAACTCTATTAGACAATAACATTTACACACCATAAAAAATTCAATAGAGTTTGTAAAAAAGGTTAAAAACATTTCTCCTAGTAATTTACTCATGGTTTCTTTTGATGTAAAATCATTATTCACCAATGTCCCAGTGGAGGGTGCATTAAGATATCTAGAAACCAGACTTCGCGAATTTCATTTCTCTTGCATCGAAATTGAGCTAATTTCTCTCACTCAACTCTGTTTGAAACAAACACATTTTGTTTTCCAAAATAAATATTACAAGCAAACTGGGGGATTAGCCATGGGAAGCCCCCTCAGTCCCATCCTGGCTGATATCTACATGCATTATTATGAATCAAAATTGTTTGAAACTTTAAACTTCCCGGCATGGTTCCGCTACGTAGACGATACTTTTACTCTGTTTGAAGGTAATAAAGATGATTTAAATAAAGTTCTTTCAACAATGAATTCTATTGATCCTGCTATTCAGTTCACTTTTGAACTTGAGACTTGCAATTCTCTTCCGTTTCTCGACATTCTGGTCACACGTAACACATCCAACTTCAGTACTACGGTTTACCGTAAACCTTCATCGGTTTGCCTTCCACCACACTTTAAATCATGTCATCCGACTAAACAAAAGTTAGCTTCATTTTATTCCTATGTTTTCTGTGCTCTTCAAGTTTGCTCCTCCAAACTAGCCCTTGATGAAGAACTAAAGTATTTAAAGCAATAGCTATTGACAGGGCTTTCCACCCAACATTATTAATCAAGCAGTTAAAAAATTCTCATCTCAACACACTAAAAGTCACTATCTTGTTTTAGGAGATTATAAAAATTCTGTTGTCATTCCCTTCTTTCCATCAATTAGCTATAAAGTTGCACATATTTTGCAGAAATTTAACTTTCGGGTTGTTTATTCTCCCATCAATAAAATTCCGAGTTCCATACTCAAGGACCCCATTCCGGATATGAATTCCTGGGGTATTTATAGGATTCCTTGCCAGTGTGGTTTAATTTACATTGGCCAAACTAAGAGAGCCTTAAAATTTCGCGTCAAGGAACATGAGGCATATGTTAGAAAAAAGGAAACACAGAAGTCTTCTGTTGCTCAACATTGTTGGTCCGAAAACCACACTTTCAGTTTTTCTGCTGCCAAAATTATTCAAAAAACATCTTCCATTGGAGAACTGGATTTTCTAGAGGCATTTCACATTCATAAAAAATCTTTCTGTTCTAGTTAACGATCCTAATTCCAATCCAAATTTGCCTTCGGCCTTTAAAGAAATTATGTTTTAGTTCTGGTTTTACCAACAGATGGCGCCACTTGCTTATTCTTGTCCAGGCTTTCTTATCTTATCTAATCATTATTTCCTATCTTGTTCATTTGCGGTTTTGCAGCTGAAGATGGTGGTTCGGTAAACCATCGAAACTAGTCCTGTGAAAATTTTGTAAATATAGTGCTGATTTTTGTTGTTTGACTTCTGAATTACGCATATTAATTCTTTAAACGTTTTGATGTAGTTCTCAACTTTTGAGTAAATTTTAACAAATATTTACACTTAATTATATGTAACAGTTATAGCAGTTAATCTAAATTATAACTACAGTAAGTTAGCTAATACTTGATTATAAGCAAACATTTTAACAATTAATCTAAATTACAACTAAAAATATGTACTTTTTACATACTCCATATTGAATTGAAAAATTCTGATGACCACCACATGACTTCCTTGCACTGAATATTAAATTATACGCATTTTTTTTTTTTTTTTTCCATTTATAGTTATTGGACTGAATTAAATCTACTTCGTCGATAGCGCATAAACCACAATAGAATAAATACGCCTTTTAAAATTATGATATTTATTTACCATAGCGATACTCTGGCGCTAGGTTCACTTAACAGAGTTACATTTCGTTCATATTATACATTTCAGAATGCATATAAATTTATATCATTTGAAGAATTATCTAATCGTTGCCATGTTCTATTGAAATACTATAATAAATTTAAAACGATGTATAAAAGAAATTAAGCAAACAACAACAAAAAAAGAAACAGTTTTTCACAGACGATTCAGTATTTCTCATTCAATTAATTCAGTTCTGACTTCGCGAGAAGGCAAAAATACATAAAATCGCAAAATATCTATGTTAAAAATTACGAAGTAAATCTTAAACATTTATTTCCTTGAATAAATTCCAGAATGGATTAAACATGATATAATTCGCAATAATAAAAGAAGGCTTTATCTTTGTTGTTGGGAAGCTTAGTTTCTCTAGATTGGTAACAAATCCGCTATTTTGCAAAGTTTGAAATGTAAACAAAATCGCAAAATTAATTAGGCTTAGCTGCACTTGAACAACTTTTAAATTGTTGATAACTCCACAAATATTGCAAGCAGACTTACTAAGGCATAAAATCCTTAACCAGAAGATAAGAACAACATAATTCAATCATTTTTAAAGCACAATTTACAAACATATAAGAGTAAAGAAACTGAGATTACTCAGCCGGTTAACAGAGTGAATATATGTATATATATATATACACACATATATATATATATACGTTTTGTGAGGCCGATTGCAACCAAAATACGAGGTGCACATCTACATGTTATAGCAGTCTTCTATATACAAAATTTCTACGTTTCGAGGCTACTCGTTTTTGAGTTATGCGAGATACTTACGTACGTACAGACGTCACGAAAAATTCTCTTCAGAATTCATTTTAAATCAGTTTTATAATTTTTTCGGTGGAAAAGAGACTTTTATTCTGCCCTTACATACAGATGTCACGCAAAACCATCGTTAAATTGCATTCGATAACGGTCAAAATGGATATTTTCGTTGAAATATGATGCCTGAAATTTTTCGCGATTACAATACTTCCTTTTTACTTCGTACAAGGAAGTAAAAAAAAAGATTAAATTTCTCAAAATCCATCTTAACAACACACATAATTTTTGTTTAAACATTCACAAAAAAAAAAAAAAAAAGTTAATTTCAAGTATTAAGACAAAATTTTAATCTTATACATGATTAAATACAAAACAACTAAATACATTTATAATTTTAAGAAACTAGTTCTAAAACAGTAAAGATATGACCACATGTTATGTGGTATACGTAGCTAGAAAATGAAATCTTTTGCCTGCCTTTGTTCGCTCTCTTTGCCATGTGGGATTGCACTTCTTTTCTTTTTGTAATTCCCTTGTTGTTTTGACGATTGTTCTTTGACGAACGAGTTCCACCTCCATCATTTCTATCTAAATAAAACATTAAATTTATTTAGCACAAGAATATTCGAAAATAAAACAACGTGAGAACAATTAATACGCAGCAATAAGTTTTAACAATTTGTCTAAATATTTTATCAATCGTAAAATAATATAAAATAAATCGAATTCCTCCATGAAGAAATTCTTTAATTTCTAACTCCTAGAAATTCTCTAATTTCTAAATAATATACTTTTCATTTTAGATTTTCACGATTTTAGTTTAAATGACTTTTGGAGGCAAATAAAAGCTCCAGCGAAAAGAAACATGGTATAAACATGTTTGAAAAGAAACATGTTTGAAATGGCTGCAAACATGAAATGGCTTGAAATGGCTGCAAACATATACTAGCAGCTTCGCTGCCAGCCTTCGTCTGGCTTTTAAATGTACCGGAAAAATGGCTGAAGGAAACACAAAAATTAAATTTAAAAACAGCGTCGTAGAATTTTACTCTGCAGAACAACATCATAAAAAAAAAGTTATTACGTATAACAAAATTACAATGAAATAAGCAATATCCCTTAATATAAATATTAATTATCCTAATAAATAAATTAACCAACTTCTCTTTGCAAAATCTTAAGAACTCAAATGGTATAAAGGAAATTAAGAACTTGGTTTCCTAAAAAAATCACTCAAAACATTTCAATATTTTAGAAACAGTGAAATGAGCAATTAATAACATAAAAGAATACAAAAAACAAAAAATTGTGAAAAGCAAAGTATAATTAATGATATTTTATCTTATATTTTCAAGAGAAAAAAATTACAATGAAATAAGCTGTATCCCTTAATACAAATATTAATTATTTTAATAAAAAATTAACCAACTTTCCATTGAAGAAAAAAATCATACAAAACTTTTTAATATCTTACAAACAGTGAAATAAGCAAAGAATAACATGAAAGCAACTCAAAAACATAAAATTTCGCGCAGAATTTTACTCTGCAGAACAACTTTATCAAAAACAAAAATCAAAATATATATTTATATATATATATATATATATATATATATATATATATAAATGACAATGAAATATGCCAACCTCTTAAAAACAGTGACAGAAGAAATACGATGAAAAATTATTGCCAAACGCATATTTCTAAAAGAATGAAATTATTCAAAATGATGCGATTTCATCAAAAATCTATCAACAATAAGACAGGAAAATTGTTGCCAAAATCACATTTTTAAAGACGTGAGAAGTGTACTCGGAAGCTTCATTTAATTTTTTTTTAAATGCAAAATATTATCTTTTTTTTATTTTTTTTTTTTTTTTTTTTTTTTTTTTTTTTGTAAAAGCAGTCACGAAAGGATAAAAGTTTAACGTATCCAAAAATCAAAGAAAAATAAACCTGTACATTTTTAAAAATAAACCTTTTTAGAAAATATCCCGTTGAAAAGGTGTTAAGTTAAACTCACTTTGTTAAATATATTCGTATTTAATCGATTTATTGAAGACACGAAATTTATTTTAAGTTCGTAAAATAGCTAAGTGCCTACGTTTCATGACGATGTGAAAATGGAGCGTGTAGAGTAAAATTTCGCTTTTCCTATAGCCCATTATGTCTCAAAATGACGCGATTTCGTCACACAAAACATAAAATAAAATTAAAAAAATTCGAATTCGAATTTCGAAAAAATCGCTTCGAGGTGCACTGGCTCTTGTCTAGATGCACCTATGTACCAAATTTCGTAGCCGTGGGTCTATTAGCTTACGCGCAGCGCGAACGAAAAACACACACACAGAGACACACTCTTTCTTTTATTATATGTAGAGATTGGTATCAATATAACAAAACTGTATTAGAGAACATATCAGCTATGATTTTATTGTATGAAGTAGTTTCTTATATAGCAAGAAATTCGCAAGAAAGAATATTAGTCACATACATTAGCCCTAGTGGACTTACTAGTACATTTCTACGTATTGCATCATTTCAAAATTAATACTTGTCACGTTATTCTTAAGGAACGCTCATGACGCACGTATTTACTTAATGCAGAAACTCTTTCAGAGAATAATAATAAGAAAATCTACGAACTAATAGGTTACTTATCTATTAGGGATCTAGTGTCGAATCAAAAGCTAATCATTCTTTTAATCTAAGTTTCAAAATATAATTTAACTTCCGAAGTATTTGGGAATATTTTAATACAAGTTTTTTTCCCAAACAGCTGAGTTATACAGCTATTAAACTAAAATTTTTTAGTAATCCTTTTTTCCCATGTGTGCATTTCTAGAAGCATAAATAAAGGTAAGGCAGCTATTTCCCAAACTAAAGGTTTTCGAAAATTTTTGAAAGTAGTGATAATTTAACAAGTTCCATCTGGTGACAATTTATGCTTTTCATTTGAATAGTTATTAATATATTTATTTAAAATAATTTTTTAAAAAGTCAGTTTAAGACGGAGTTCTACACCATTAATTTTAACGTTAGAAACAGTAGTGTGACTATTAACGGTAAAATACCGCTTAACTTAGAAATCGTTTAACAAATGTCGGGAGAAAAAAAAAACTACCAATAAGCCCGCAAATTATTTCTCTTTTTTAAATCAATTTTTAAATTATTTTCTTATTATTTAAAAACAATTTACATACTTTATAATGTGAACAAGTGAAAATAAAAACAAGTAACAAGTTTGTTTTAAACGAAAAGCATCTAAAAAAATCCCATTAATTGGTAATGAAACATTCCCTGGAAAGAAGGGAAAAAACTCATGCAAAGTGTCATTGTAATACAGATGTGTGTATGTATAATATACACTGTTATATTATATTATATATGTACATATTATATTATATACACTGTATATATGTATATTATATACGTATTCAAGTATAAAAATGATATTCTCTGAAGCTTGTTTATAAAATAGATGATCGAGGGGAGAAGGATGGCTAAAAATGCACTTGTATTTCAAAATTAATAAATTGCACCGCTCCAGAATAAAACAATGTACTCTCTGGATTTTAGGCAGGATTAGGTGGTAACTTGAATGCTTCAAACTAATCTTCTTTCTCTCTAAAAACGTTTTACCTGAATTATCCGTGGATATTGTTAAAGTACGAAATAAAATGCAGCTCATTTTCAAATTAGACGCTCTTATAGATTACTTCGTTCAACCTCACAATTTTTTTCTAGTTCAAATACATCTTTGCCTGCAGCAAGCAACTAAACTCGACTTTCTTTGCAGGAATTCAGTTTCCTGCAAAGAAAGTTTCTTTCCTGCAGTTATTGTGGATATCCTCATTCTTTGGAGAAAGTTACGAATAAGCTTTCTATTGAAATTCCTCAAAAATTGTTTCGACACGTTATAGTCGAGTAGTTTCCTTTTTCACTGAACTGACATCGTCCACGAAGAGACTGCGTTTTTAATGATACAGTTGAATAAATTCTGTACCTACTTTTAAATTCATTGAATAACTTAAATATGAATTTTGCCAAAAGGCATGCGTTAGAATTTCAAGTACCATATTTGAATTCTACATGCACATTTATCATGGTCAACTATTGTTACATCAGTAACTGGTCCAGCTATAAAATACATTTCAAGCGTATATTATATGATATGGCCTTAACACGTAAATATATTTTTATGCAACAACTAATGATTCAATGTTATTTTTTCAGTTAGCTAAATGATAGACACTCTTTACTTCACCACCCGATTATATGGATAAATAAACCTGTGGTATTAGTTCCTTGGAAACTACAGGTCTAAGAATACGAAAGGTTAGGCATTTAATTTTACATATGATTCGCATTCCTTTCTCTTAAACACTTTGCGTATTGACTTACTAGTAGCGAAATGATAGGACCGATGAACAATAGTAATTCGACCATCATGAAATTTCGATAAATGTGCTGGCTGCATGGACGTTTTTGTGATTTTTCTCTGCCTTAGGTTTGCTTTGGAAGAATTCAATAAATGCAAATCCTTTCCGACTTTTTTTTGAGTATTTTAGGTATGCGGCCAAATAAGAAAAATGAAGATTAATATCATTTTTAATTGTGGAATAATTGTGATTAAAACTAGGTAATCAGAACGCTAGTGGAAAAAAAAAAACGCTAGTGTAATAAACTCCTAAAAACGGGGCATATGTCTCGCTGGCTGAATTATGTACTACGTTTGTCTCCAGAATGGTTTTGTTAAGAAACAAAATATGTTCAATCGGGCATGATTGCAACTATCTCGTTATGATGGGCTTTCACTGTTAACATTTACATCAACTATTGAAAATGGTTTTATTAGACGGTATAACATTCTTGAAGGAATTATACATCGCTAAAAAAATGAATTTGATCAAATCAGTAGATCAAAATTCCTATTAAAGAACTGAAACCTTTTGACTTCCCCCGCTTCTTCTGAATTCCTCCTCTAATTGCTTGGCTACTGCTAATATATTGCGGTAATTTATCACCCATTGTCCTAAGAGTCAGCTTCCAAAAACTGTTGGGTGCATATTGAGCCATAATGATATGTCAATAAGAATATGTGTCAAGAATTAGATCTTCAGCAAAAGAAATATATGAATGTACGGCTGCGCCTGTCTACAAGTTTCATCATTACATATAGGCAGTAAATTCCTCCAATCCCATTACAGCTAAACCTCCCAACCGAATTTTTACACACGCGCACACACACACATATTTCCAATATCTTGACTCAAATCCCGCTGACAGTGCCCAGTTTGGATGATAAATAAAGCACAGGAAGTTTACATCGCGTATTCAAAGCAAAGAACATGCAATTCATATTTGCTTTGAATACGCGACGTAAACTTCCTGTGCTTTATTTATCATCCAACTTGAGCACTGTCAGCGAGATTTGAGTCAAGGCATTGCAAAGAGGAGAGGAGATCTGTATGTTCTCAGATGAGAGAAGTTTTATCTTGGTGCCAGTGATGGTCTTATGTTGTTTAGAATGACGCCAAGTAAGCACTTGGAACCAAATTGTCTGTGGCATATACACACTGGACC